CGGAGCGCCCCGGCTTCGCGTCGGTTCCCCGGCCGGGGCCGCGGGTGCCGGAGCCTCTCCTCGGTTCTCGGGCCTTTCTCTCACTCTTTTCCCTTCCCGCCGCAGCCGGCAGCATCTCCCACATCCCGACGTGCTGCTCCGGGACCGGGCTGCGAGAGCGAGCGGGCTCCTTCGGACGCCTCGGCGCTTCCCTGATCGGCCGCTGCTGCAGGAAGGAGGCTTTTCCTTGGCCTTGCGTGGAGCGGCGAGAGGAACTCGTGCAATATGAAAACGGTACTTTTCATGTCTTCTTCAGGAAAGTGCAGGCTGGTCCTCCTCACCCTGTCGGCAAAGCGGCCTGCTTTGTTCGAGAAACGCTCCCCGGCTAGCCAAGTGATCCGTAGAGTGTGCTGTGTTAAGGGGAGCTATAAAAGCACTGATTCCCTATCTGCTTAGTGACAATGAGCTTTCGGGAAGGTGGAATTGCAAAGGTGCACCCCGTAGTTAAGTCAGCATTACAGTTTCGGCACCATGTGTCTTCCCTATAACATCATCTTTATGAGTTATCTCTTGTGGTGCTTGAACATTTTCCCAGGACTCTGTTGTTTGAGGTGGGCCTGATGGTTACTGTTGTTTTGTAATCCCAGTTGTGAAGCAGTTGCGTTTGTGAAAATGTGCAGAACTCTTTGTGTGGCTTTTTTTTATTATTATTATTATTTTTGTTTGGTAACATATGTAAAAGGAAAGATATATTTAAATTCTGATATTTATGAATTTTTTCCTGTATTAAAAATACCTTTGGGAGATCATTCCAGGTTTCTGATGTAAGTAACTTTGCTTCCTGTAGTGCTGCTTGTTGATGGCTTTTGGGCTGGTTAGTAACTGTTGTACCGGGTGACTCAAATCCTCGTGTTTGTTGTTTGAGTTTTATGCCACAAGTAGATGGGGCAATTAGCACGTCCAGTCTAATTCTCCCAGTTGTTCTGAATTCCATTAGATTTTGTCTTTGTATATCCATCTGAAATACTCGCTGAGGTACATTTCACCGTTTAATAAAGTGTTGCCGAATTCTCTCTAGTATTCATGTAGAAATACGTGTAGCAAATTCTCAAGCATATCTGTCTTTTACCCAAGTATTCCCAAAGCAGAACTGAAAAAAAGGAGTTAAGAAGGAAGTTTTTATTTCCTATTATTAATTTTTTTTAATCACTTCATGTTTAAATAGCAGAAATAACACTTTATGTTTACTTAGGTTTTTTTTTTTTTTTTTTAAGGATATCTGACAGAACACCTACCAAAGCTTCCACTTAGGAAATTTTTCCAGTGTAAGAAATGTGTAGTGCTCACGTTATTATACAATGTGATGATTGTTCAGTTACTGACAAGTGCTGCACTAGAGTAACTGTGCACTAAATTTGAACCTTGTTGTAGTTCATCTGCTCCTTCCCTCTTGATTTATTCTCTGAGGTCTAACCTTAACCTCTGCACTTGTACATACAAATTCTGGAATGATAGCGTTATAGAAGATCTGGCCTACTTTACTTCTCTGTTCTTTTAGCATAAGGGAAACGTGCTCTTAAGGCCGCCTGAAGACTTAAAAAAAGTTTTGGCGGTTTTGTTGGTGTATGTGTAATGAACGGTTTCTTCTTTCAGAGCGTTTGTGAGGTCTGCGCTGTCTTCCCAGTGGAAACTTGCTGCTCAGAGCCTCTGCTCTGCTTTGAATTTTAGTATATACAACTAACAAGTCCTATGAAGCAGCGCTGCAGTTACCTTCAGAGTTATTGATCTGTTGTTAAATTGTTCATATTTTTTTTCCAGTCACATCACATTTACGTATTTGCTCTACATTTCAGTACCCTGCAAAGCATAACTTCCCTTTCTTATCTGACCTTCTTTAGACTCTAAGAGGAAAAAAAGTCTTAAAGCTGTTTTGTTGGTAATATTTTATAGCACTTATGGAAGCCTAAGGACTGGAAAGTTGCAGAGATCCCCAAACTATTTAAAAGATGATCCAATTGTAATCCTTGGAAGTATACGACAGTCATACCGAATCAGGAACAAATCAGTGCTTTCTGTTGGAGTTTTCAAATCAGTTTCCTTTCTGTCTGCATGTGTTTTTAAAAGTAACTTCTTGACGCTCACAGTAATTTATAAATATTTACTTTTTAAAAATACTGCCACATACTGAGTAGTGTGGCGGGAAAAAAAACATTTGTAAGTAGCAATATCTAAAGTTAATAATGATAATAAACAACTTTTTGTACTGCTTATTCCATGTTATATTTGATATTTAAATTTAAAAGCTGTCTATAAGGGGAGGAGTTTATTGAAGTTTTGGACAGGGATTAGCATCTTGAATTTTAGAGAGTTTGTCAGAAATCTGGGTGTTCTGAACTTCTGTGTAAAAGCTAGCAAACTTCTCAGGTCTACTTTCAGTTATCTTTAAGATGTATCAGTTAGCTAACTAACTTGCTAGGCTTATGGTCTTGTTATTACTAAAATTGTATCTGTGCATTATTGTCTTTTCTTCAGATGACGGGATCAAACGAATTTAAACTAAATCAAACTCCAGATGATGGTATTTCATCAGTAAAGTTTAGTCCAAATACATCTCAGTTTCTGCTTGTTTCATCCTGGGACACAACCGTCCGGCTCTATGATGTTCCTGCCAACACCATGAGACTCAAATATCAACATTCAGGAGCTGTCCTTGACTGTGCTTTTTATGTAAGTGTGTGAGGTGTTTGTTCTTTCTTTTAAAAATTATTATTTTGTAGACATGTAGTGCCCCAGGTACATGAGAAATTGTCAGCCCCTGAAATTAAAGGGATATTGAAATCCTACCTGAAATCTAGGTTAAAAAAAAAATGCTTACTTCTGCTAATTATTCTTCTTTTAATGAACATCGTTCTAGTCCTAAATATCTATATTTCCTGTGAAGGGTGCAGGCACGCAAGTAATTTGCTTCTCCTAGAAGCGCTAGGCAAAAGTAACTTGAGCTGGTTTGTGCTGTTTCTGCGATGATATGGTAAATTGTGTGCATGTTTCTTACAAATAGTTGTACTGGTAGTATATAGCCAGAAATCATTAATCACAATAAATGTCGATAGCCAATTATTTTTTTCTTTTTAACCTTCTCATACTGGGTTATTTTGGGAACATGGCATTGTTCCAAGTGAGCCATTTACCAGATGCTTGATTTCTGTATTTTTAATGCACTGGATTTGAAGTATGACTGGTTAAAGTTTATTGGTGCCACTGTTTTGTTTTGCCTTTGTTTGTTTGTTTTTTTAAATGGAAGGTTTCAATTAGCATCTTCTTTTTTTGCATTGTATTCTGGCATGTCCTCCAGTGACTTGATCTTGTTATGTTGCTGAATGTTTTAAGGATCAGTTTAAATATTTAATTCTGCTTGTGCTTTTTTCAGTGAACATTTTGTCACGTAGCTAATACCGTACTGTGGATCAACACGCAGGTTCTCAAATGGTTTCTAGTTTCCAAATTAGTTTTAGAAGGAATACACTTCAGTTAGGTGGAACTGGCTTAGGTTGGTCATTTAAAAATAGGCATTATGTGTTTTGCTGTTACAGAAATAGAAATGATTTGATATAGCTTCTAACTGCTGTTGTTTCTTTTTAGTTTTACTTTGAAATTAAAAAAAATTTGTGTAGCTCAAAGTGCTCTACCTGAACATTTTGCAAAGCTTCAGTCGTCTGCCTGTTTAGATCTGGGCCGGATCTTAACCCATGTGTCTTAATTCCCATCTTCCCAAAACTCTTGAAAGCAAGTTCAGTGTTACGAGCCTGAGATATTAAATGTATAGCAGCCAGGGAAGCTTAATGCATGTCATAAGGTGGATTTTTTTGCTTCATAGGATCCTACCCATGCCTGGAGTGGAGGATTAGATCAGCAACTGAAAATGCACGATCTAAACACGGACCAAGGTAAGCAGGCTGAATTCTGTAAGTGGTCTCAACATGTGGCCTAAGCTTCGGATTTATAGACTTGCACGAGCGGAATATGTTTCAAGTTTTTTAAATGGGCAATGTTTAAGTAGTAGCTGTTTAGATGTTGATTATGAACCTCTACTGATATAAGTTGTCAGTGTTAGTGCTCAGCAGTCTCCTATGCTATGCAGCCTTTTCTCGCCACTGAGACACAGAACGAGGCAGTATTCCTTACTGTGTAATTGAGGACTGTGCTGTAACACCTTTCAACAGAAGGGCTGAATGCGTTGCTGCCAAACTGAGGGTTTAAACTTTTCCCGTGATGAATATTCATTGATGTATTTTACATGTGTCTTTCTCTTTTATTTACTTATTTTAAGGTGAGAATGGAAAGAAAGGGAATAGCTGTATACTTGTCACACCGTCGATTTAAGGGTCACATCATACGTGCCTTTATCTAGCAGAACAGCCGCTGGCCCTAATAACTACCACCTAAAGCATGGAAGCATTTGTCAGTTTGCCAGAAAGTTTGGTAGATCTTTGTTGTAGGACACCTTGAGTTGGATTTCTGGTGATAATAGTCCTGCTCTGCCTTAGGCTGCTGTGTCTCAGGGGGAATTCACTAAGCTGAACTAAAACTGAGAGTGTTTTTTTCCAAAGGTTTGTGGTTTAGACATATTTAGAATTGTCTTTCACGTGTATGGCAGAACGTATATAAAGCTTTGCTTTGTCAAACATCATGGCCTTATACTACATTTTTTTTTTCTAACAAAACATTGCTCGAAAGTAGCACAGTTCCAGTGCCTCATTGGTGCAAAATCCGGAGCTAGTTTGTCTGACTTTTTTGTGTGTTTGTACGTATTTCAAAGACAAAAGCGAATCTGGGCCTGAGAGAAATGTGGTCACCAGAACCAGCCAATAGTCAGGGCGTGACAAACTTATGTGTGCAGTAATGTTATGGAAAAAGGTCAAATAATTCTGTTATAGATGACTCTCTAAAAGTGTTTGTATTAACTGAATATCTTTATTCATATGTAATATTAGTTCCTTCCTTTTGTCATAATGTTAGTATATACAAGCTTACGTTGCTTTCTCTATTAGTGTCTGCATCACAGCGGGTGATACCATTTGATACGGAACACTTCTTTATACCTCTGAAGATCTCTCTGTGGCTGCCTAAAATTCTTAACTTCCTTTCCTAATCTCAGGAGACATAAGTTTAAATTTAATGTTTCTGATCTTTGAAAAAGGTATGCTTCTGAAGACTGAACTGTCTGTAAAGGGACTCCTAGCATATCGATACACCCGTGAGAGTGTCAGAAAATAGTGTGTTCGTACTGCAGTAGCGTGTCCTTTTTTTATTCTTTTTTCAACACACATTCTGACTGCTTGTAGAGCCAATAAAGTCACAATAAATTTTATTTTCTTACAGAAAACCTTGTTGGTGCTCATGATGCTCCTATCAGGTGTGTTGAGTATTGCCCAGAAGTGAATGTCATGGTAACTGGAAGCTGGGATCAAACGGTTAAGCTGTGGGATCCCAGAACTCCTTGTAATGCAGGAACCTTCTCCCAACCTGAAAAGGTAGGTACTGGGTGCTGTATTCCAGGTGTTATGTTCAATAATACCTCCAGTGACTGGTTAAATGTCACAATACAGGACACTGTCTTAAACTGAATTGAATTTGAAAGGTTGTGTTTAATGGCTTTTAAACCGTGAAAATGTTGCATTTTAAAATATTGTTATTCAAAATATATTGCGATTTTAGGTTAAGGCTTTGAGCTTTCATCAATAGGAGAGCATAACGCAATTCTTAGCATTCCTGGTGGACCAAATTCTTTTAATTTAAAACAAACTTGAGGAAGGAAAACCTGACAAAACCAGCATGTGAACTTGACATAATTGTTAATAATCCTTGGCTTAATTGTAATACGCACTATCGATTTCCTTAAATGTTAAGACTTTTAGATATATCAGATCCTGGCGGTCATAAGGTCTGATTGTTTTGAAATGTGCATAGAGATATAATAGGAGGCCAATTACATTGCCTGAAATAATATTTTGGTTTTTTCACTTGTATTAAAAGGTCGAACAGAATTGCTTTTATTGTAATTTACCTGTCGTTGTACTAATGCCTAGTAAATTCAGATATTCTCCTAATACTGAAATCCTCTGTGCTAATGAGAGAGCAAGAAAAATAAGGTAAAATATAATGTCTTAAGCATTTTCTAATGGTTACATGGTGTGTTAATCTTTATACTGCTTACAGTGGTGTCACTGAAAGAATTATAGAATAGTAATTTCTGGTTTTTTTTTATAGACTCCTAAACACAGGCTGGATTGATGGATAATTTTACATATGAATATTTTTTTGCCTATACCCTTTTAAAATTTCATTTAGCTCTGTCGCATCGTATTGTCAAGTCATACTTATGAACCATCATTATGCTCCCTATTGCATCTAAATAGCTATTACTTTTGTTACAACATAGCTGAATCTACTTCTGGCAAGACCTTTGTTCAGAATAAAGTAATTGCATTATTTCTAGTTTTGATTTATAGTCGTATGTAGCATGTAAAGAACTGTGATAAATTGCTGACAGAATATCATATAATGGACAGCCACAGTGAATCAAGCTGCTTATTGGTTCAGCAAGGTTCATTATGTCATTTTTTTAATACTGCCTTTGATAAATGTGTACACCTACTCAACTGCATGACAATGGTTTCATTTGATTTATGATTGTGTGGTGTAGAAAGAATACTTACTATACAGGTGTGACATCAGTTTGTAAAGAAGATTTAAGATATTTAATGTTCTTTATGCCTTTGTTTCCATACGTGTATACAAACATGTTTTATATAATGTTTATTAATAATTTTTTGATCCATTTATACATCAGTAATGAAGGGAGATTTGAAAAACTGTCTTGTTAAAGTGTGTAACTACCATTGGCTAAAAGTTTTCATGCCCTTTTTATTCTTAAGTGGGGGTTGGCAATTGGGATCATCAGAAATTTTAGGCGACTTCTATGTGAACATTTAAGATGTTTCCTATCTTAAGACCTCAGTCTTAAGAGGGAAATTCAGTAATCACATTTTAGAGCAAGAATGCATGCTGAATGAATGTGGATTGGTTAAAGGAAGTTTTATATACATACACCCAGCCACATACACACCTGTCCGCTTAGTTTTTTTTATTAGAAATTAACTTTTTGAAGACATAATTTCTCCAGAAACGTTTAGAGCAAATGAAAAGTTGTTTTGTCTGATATTGCAGTGCAGTCTTACCAGAACCTCTCTTTATCAGAGAACCAGAAAGTGAAACTAGGTGCTTGAGTGAAATTGTACAAGCACATGCCAAAAGTAAATTGAATCCTTCTGGCAGGATACCAGACCCCTTACACTTTGAATTCTTGATCTGAGGTACATACAATATCTGTTTCTTACATATTTAGCTGCATTAGATCGCTTTTGAAAAAGTTCGTTCTTATAGTTTGCTCTTGTTAGCAGCTCAGTGACAGGAGAGCTGTAGGTAGCTGGATTCCATCTTGCTTGTGTATCAACAACTTGTAATTCGTTTGATTGCACAGAGTTTTTGACAGAACCTTTTTTCTTTTTCTTTTTTAACGTATTTCCAGATTAACTGCATCCCAAGTACTAGCTGGAAACAGAACGATTTCTATGCTGAATATTTTAATGAGAAATCTGGTAAACAAAAATTAGAACCTCTGAGTCAGTTTTTGGAGTAGAGTTGGAATTCCAAGCCGTAGTCTTTTTTAATGATGTCAAGCATAGTGCTTCCTTCAATTTCACTTAGTTTTATTGAAGTGTACAAAGTACTATTTTTTAATGATTTCTTGGCAGTTTATTCCCCTTTATTAACACAAAGCTCCACCTGAAGTATTCTGTTTAAAAAGAAAAATGCATGATTACCAGATGGAAGAAAACTGAGAAGAAAATGTGTGATGTAGGACTAAACTGCAGGATCATGAACTGATAGTGGGGAGTGCAAGCTGTGCAGATGAATTCATTGGATTCATTGAATTCATCCATGCCCTTTTTTCCCCCTGTTACTGTGTATCTATTTTCCTCATGCCTTGAAATATCCAATAAATTTAATGCTTGGAATAATTTTTGAGGAAAACTTGAATAATACTGATTTCCCTTTTGAATTATACATAAATACTTTGGTACATGTGTAGCATTTAAAACATGGGTAATACCAGCAAAAGGAAGAAATCTCATGTGTGGAAGATTATTTAGATACCATTGAGATCTGGAGACTGCTAACTGAGCAAACGTGCTTGAAATTTAGAGTTGCACAACTGCATATGCATATTAATTTTTTTTTTAAACTAAATTTGTTATATGCAGTATGGTGCTGCATTGGGCTTGATTTTTCAGCTATCTGCTAGGGTACAGAAAGAAGGGTGAGCTTTTGAAATGCTACATCTGTGTCTTATCACTAACCAGCTGCACGCTACTGCTCTTTATCCCAAATTTGAGTTATAAATTGAAGCAAAGGGGAAATCTGTAGCTATAGACTTTGTTGTAGATGTCACCTGTTTTGTTTTTGCATACTGCTGACATTTTATTTTGTACAAAGAACAACGGATATCCAGGCTGATAAGTGTTAAATATTGTAATTTTTTTTTAAAGGTCTACACGCTTTCTGTGTCTGGAGATAGACTAATTGTGGGGACGGCAGGTCGGAGAGTGCTGGTGTGGGATTTGCGGAACATGGGTTATGTTCAGCAGCGAAGAGAATCCAGTCTGAAATACCAGACCCGCTGTATCAGAGCGTTTCCGAATAAACAGGTATGGGATCTGTGTCAGTAATTTATATTTCTGCTGAATATTCTTTAGGAAAAGTGGTGGCTTATTTTTCAAGTTTTCTGCATCTTTGTCTCATTTTAAAAAATTTCTGTTTTTCAAAGTTTTGTAATCAAACTCTGGGAGGGGGGGAAAAAATGGTGTTGAGGCTCCCTTGTTCCAGGTTAACTCTTTTTAATAGCGTAGTTTAGGAATGTTTGCCACTAACTTACCAGCATGTTATGTTTTCATTTTTTCTCTGTTTTGTCTCCTTTATTAAAATAACCTATTTAATGCATCACAATGCTGACATGCAATTAAAACCCAAAACGCTCCTCCCCAAAGTTGCGGTAGAAGAGAGAAGGACAGAACTGGTGGTTGCTCAGCAGCCTTTATGCATTGTAGCTCCAGGTTCTTCAACAGACTGTGAACAGGGGCGGGATTAAAACTAGATGCATGTCATTTATATATTTTTCTTTTTTTTTTTTTTTTTTTAAACTCTGAGTGTGTGCCATGCACTCAAGAACCCATGATCCGTTATCTAGGGGGAATTGTACAATTTAGGTGATCATACATTATGTTAACCTACATGGAACAGCTGTATCTGTGGTATTTCTTTGTGAAGTAAAGCAAGAAGACTAGCTTTTTCTGACAAACTAATTTGGAAGGGAATTTTCCTGTGTACATAGTGATAGTACAGGAATTGGGAGACCTAGTTACTTGTTCTTGAACTGGCCTGAACACTTTGTCCATTTTCAGTTCTAGTTCTGGTAAAACAAGCTGATCTTCCAGATTGTATTGTGTTATGGATTTTAAAGAACCTTGCTGTAGGTGGATACCGTTACAATCCTATTGCTGAAAAGATCTATTATGGGCTTAACTCAGAAGTTTATAATAAAAGCATCTCAGGTTGCTCTAAGTCAGGACTGTAATTAACTAGATAAGTGGTGACCACTTATAATCAAGTTTCACTGAAAATACTATTTCAACTTGAGTGTTTAGTTGCTAGTATAAAGCTCTGAATTAATTTTAATGTAATGTAATTCTGAAACTATATAGTCCCATGAGTATGTCTAGTATTGGTGATACTTGGGCCCCAGGGGATAGGCGGGCAAACACAAGGGGTCCTTAACTCTCAACATTTTTTCCCCAAGTCAACTTGTGTTGGGATTTGCAGGGATGATTAAAAGCCTCGCTGTCCACTTGAAACTATGGTGCAATGAGAATCTCTCAGAAAGCTTTTTTCTGCATTGCTTTTTTCTGCATTACTTCTTTCTTAGAAGCAGATTTTATTGATGGTGCCATGGATCTGTGGTAACAAGCAATTTCTGGTTGTACACAATTTAAGACGGTTTACATTTCATTTATTTGAATTTAGAGGGGTATAAGATAAATTGTAGTGCAATCTCTTCTCCAGTTTTAAACTTCTAAAATGCTTATCTCCAAATTTTTTTGGTAGGGTTATGTTTTAAGTTCTATTGAAGGTCGTGTTGCAGTGGAATATTTGGATCCGAGTCCAGAAATCCAGAAGAAGAAATATGCATTCAAATGTCACCGTTTGAAGGAAAATAACATTGAGCAGATTTATCCAGTTAATGCTATTTCTTTCCATAATGTCCACAACACATTTGCTACAGGTAGAGTAGATACTCAGTTTTTTGTTACATCACTTGCGTCAGTTCCTTTAATTTTGATTTAAACAGATCAGCTTTTCCTTCATGTGCCCTTACTTTTTAAGCATTTAAGTTGTATTTCTTGCAATGAGCAGGGTTTTTATATTATTTGATGCAGTGAGAGTTAATTGCTTTAACAGGGATTTTGGGAAATACTTGTCATGCTCTTTACTGAATTATGCAACTCTCTATAACCCTGTGTTTTTACTGACAAAGTAATTCCAGGTAGTTTTCTCTTTTCCTTCTCTCTTTTTTTTTTTTTTCCTTTGCTGTATCTTTTCAGTCTTACCATTCTCCCAATTATAATTTACAAACAGTTTTTAAAAATTAATTTTTCAGGAGGTTCTGATGGATTTGTAAATATTTGGGATCCATTTAATAAAAAGCGGCTGTGTCAGTTCCATCGGTATCCCACAAGCATAGCGTCACTTGCCTTCAGCAATGATGGAACTACCCTTGCAATAGCTTCTTCATATATGTATGAAATGGATGACATTGAACATCCTGAAGATGGTATCTATATTCGCCAAGTGACAGATGCAGAAACAAAACCTAAGTGAGTATGCTTCACCTGTATTTGAGCCTTTCTGAGCATTCATCCCAAGATTTATTAATTTTCCTAAATTCATGAATAGCATTATTGATGCCAGTAGATAGTGCAGCTTGACAGTAGGGTTGGTTTTGATTTTATCTTGTTCGCCCAAGCTTTCAATATCCGTAGGTTGATAGACGTCTGATGGATAAAATTGTGCTTAGTTGTTTAGTAGAAGAATGTCAAACTCCTATCCTTTTTGAATAGGTACTATTATATGAAGCTGTGGAGTTATTGCTAGCTCATCGCTTCAAGAATTAAGTGAAGAATTCAAGAATAATTTATTTGTGTAAACGTTACTGTGTTTGGATATCTAAAACTTAGAGTTAATGAAATCTTTACACACTGAGTATGCACACAGCTGTCACAGTCAGAAGTGAATCTAGGTACTGTTCTAGGAAGGTTGTGTAAAATCAAGGAAAAGCTTTCTCAGTTTCCGTGTGTTGGAGTTTGCTGCAGCCCTCTGATAACGCACTTTTCTGTCATTGTTGCTGTCAAAATGGGGCAAACTGATTGATGGAGGTAAAAGATTTCTGTTAAGCTCCTTTGGCATGAATGTTACATAGAAAAATTGCCATCACAGCGCAGAATTGCACTGCTCGTCATTATGCTAGCACAGGAGCAGTTGTTTTTATTTTCAGATTCCTGTGGTTTGTCATTGCTATTTTCTTTTCTTCTACTACTCAAACTGTCTTACACTTTATCTGTCTCCATTACTTAGTATCTAAGCTGCTACGTAAAGAGACACACACAAGTGAGCAAAGTTCTTGAGTTTAAAACCTCGAGACCTCCCCCCCTGCCCCAAGTGACTTGTGTATTGCTTCGGAGCAGCCATTTTATCGCTGTGGAGATGTGAGGTGGAAGTTACAGAAGAATAAATGCACCATCTCTCACTTGCTTGTTTTCAAATAATTTTGAGGCTCATGGAAAAATAAACCCAGAACTATTTCAGTATTTATTTCTGGGCTTCCTCAAGCCAAAAAAAAAAAAAAAATCCAAAGATGATAAATCAAATCTATTTTAAAAATCAGGTTGTACTTGTTACATACATTTGGGAGGGTTTAAAAAAAAAAAGGTGATAGAAGAATACTTGCTGCTATTGGTCTTGTAATAGTAAGAGCTGCTTTCAGTTATTTTTGTTCATTGCTAGTTATGATTGCTAATTCTGTAGATGCTTCATTCTGCCGTATGAGGAGGTTAATCTACAATTAAACAATATTTCCTCTTGGCCCTCCATTATTTTCTGAAACAGATGGTTCATCATTTCCTGGGCTGTTAAACACAGCAAGGTTAAGGTTAGACTCTTGGGAATCAGCTAGTTTTGAATCTTATTAGGCTGTAGAAGGAAAACTAATAAGAATACTCCTTAATATCATTTTGTGACTGCAAACAATTATTTATTAGCAAACAATTGATCCCAGAAGGGCAAATTGTTTGAGTCAGTAATGAGCTGAGAAAAGACAGAGCATATCTGTGTATTTGGAAAATAATTGTAACGTAATTGCAATGCATTTAGACAGGCATCTTTTTGGACCTGTTTCTATCTTTAAATGAATTTCTGAAAACATTAACAAGGTTTATATGCTTTTCTGACATTTACAAGTTGCTTGTGCCAACCTTAGGGCACTAAGAATAATGCGTATATTTTAATGTTACAGTAGCGTGAGTCATCTCTGGCTTATTCTAAAAATAAGTTACTTAGGATAGCAGGCTAATAGTTGTTTCATAGTGATTTTTTGCATATTAATTTGAATCACTTTCTGCATTGTTAAATGCATCAAGATGATGCCATATTACATAAAGAAAACTTGGCAAGATCAGCTTTTTGATCGCTAAATTATTGTGTATTGTATCTTGATACAAGCGAAAGCAGTCTTCCTACACATTTTTGCTTTTATATAATGTTGAATGTTTTACCTGCTTATGATTACTCTAAAAACCGCTTGCCAAAATACTGTTTATTTATTTCAGGTCTACTTAGAGGTCTGCTTAGACTCCTGGTGATACTTCTTCTTTATGAGAGGTGCCCACCTGCTCCTAACAAGACTAAACTGAAACAGTAGAAGTGAGAAGAACAATCTTTGTACTGATGTTGTTTTTGACTAAGAAATACTTGTTTGTATATTGTAGTATGTCTTAAATCTGTCATTACTTTCCTGCTTATAACGTTAGTGAAACTTTTCTTTATCTGCTGTCTGTAGCTAAATTAGTTCAGTCCTGTAGGCACCTCTGCGTATACCTTTATAAAAACTTATCACATTTTGTAGTATCTAAGTATGAAAACTTCCAGTGGTCTCATAATGTTCAATAAATATCTGTAGGTTTCTTGAAAACAAATACTTCGTGTAACAGCCTTTACTGTTTGTGAAACAAACATTAAGACCAGACCTTTAAGTTGCAAGAATCCTTGAGTTCTAGATCTTCCTGATGGAAAATTTCTGAACCTTTTGTCTTTTTCAAATGAGATGAACTGGGGGTTTCTTCATGACCCGGGGATGTTGGCTCTCCAGGCAATGTTTTCACAGGGCTGTGAAAGCCTAAAGTTGTATTAGGTGGGCTTGTTTGTCTCAATGACTTGGTCGCTCCTGGGGAATCATCAACTGTTTCTGGAGGAAAGAACTTGAACACGTGGTACTTTGTTTTTTCACGTACTGCATAAAAGCGTAAAATTAACAATGCTTGGGAAGAATGGAGGGTAGAGGGGAGCAAATGTAGAGTTTCATCCTACAGCTGAGCGGTCTCTTCCGAGGCTGCAGATATGACCAGGGTTTATGGAGTAACGCAAGTGGAAAGGTAATAAAAAGGAGTTTCCCCAGAGTGGAAATGTCATTCTGGCCACAAAACCCCATGAAAATATGCCGTTTCTCTGAATGTCGTTTGCCTTATTGCCAGTTGGTAAGGAGTCTAATCTGTAATCAAATTTTTTGTCAGCCTCTTGAGGATTTTGGAGTAGCGGGTAGGTGTGAGAAGATGCTTTAACTTGGACAAATTGAAAATTTCTTAGGAAGGTAGTATTAGAAAAACAACTTAAACACACTGTGTGTTTGTTTTTTCTAACCAGCAATGTAGATCTGATCAAGAGACTAAACTTGCAAGTCTGTCTTCTGCTGAAAAGAATATATTCAATATTGCACATTCCTGACTGGTTTGTGGAAATAGAGAGAAACGCTTTCTGATTAGTACCACCAATAAAAGCTATCTCATCCCACTCTGCAGAAGAGACTGTCATTCTGCTCTCTTAATAGCAGCTTGCATCAGGTGTTTGGGAAGTAGTTAAGTATTAAGTATTCACTTTGTAGTGAATAGTAAGGAGGGACAGAACAAAACTCCGATGAGGCTTATCAAAGATGATTAAGGTGTGGGTACCTTGGAGTGGTGACTGGATTCATACTTTACTCCCAACTTAGCAGTGCCTGTGTAGCCAGTGGGAGTACTTTATTACCTTTAAGAAAACAAACTGGCTGACAACAGACATAGTAACCGGTCGGTCCAAAGGAGGTGGTGATGGAGAGGAAGGTGGGCTCTGTGTGTGCAGAAAGCTAACAAACCTGAGCTGTTACTAGGTAGAGGTAGTAAACGTGCTGTGTGTGGAATACTTTATAATTTCTCGTGACCTAGATATGGATTCTTTGATAATGTAAACTGGTTTTGATAGGTTTGAAAAAAAATTCAAAGATCTTCCTGAATTAAATACGGATAATGGCTACAACAGTACCCCCCAGCCGCTCTTCTGATAGATGTGCACCGTCCCTAGTTCTTCCCATTTTAATTGGCTTTTTTGCGTTGAGGGTACGTGACTCTCTGGTGCTGGGCAAAGGTTGAATTTTTGATGCCAGCTTAGGAGGTGATGACCCCTTGGTGTTTGGGTTGGGGTTTTCTTTGTTTGTTTGTTTTTGAGGAATGAGTTGATACATAGAGTCTGGGGCCTAAACATGGGAACCAAAGGTTTCTGCGAGAATGACTAGCAAAGAAATAGTAAGAAAAATCCCTGGTTTGAGGGATGACTGTAGGTTGAGACAGCAGACTTTGTGTTAGGAACACCTGTCAAGCGTTCCAGGGTCCCAGACCACAATGTGTATGTGTGTGAAGGTTTAAATACATACGTATCTGCAGAGTAAATACACACAGTATCTGTTGTTTTTCCAACTCTTCTCAGCTGAGAGAGTATAGTATTAAAAAATACAAGCGTGAGCCCACAAAAAAAACCCCAACATTTGTTACCTAGAAGCACAATAGTGACCCTGCTTGTGGAGAAGAGACCTGAAGTGAGGGTGGGTCCAAATAAATAATGCGTGAAGGCAGAAGCAGGCTGGGACTCATGAAAAGGTGGTTTGGTGATGATGTGGAGAAAGGATCATGTGAAATGGAGAGAGCACAGAGTGGGGACGTACAGGGGTGTAGAACTGTGGGGAACAAGGTGAAATAAGAGCTAGAGAATGTAGGGGAAAGCAAAGAAAGAATTGGGGGAATTCCAAATAGTTTGGTTAACAAAGTAGGCACATAACATAGCCTGGAAATGGTGCCACCTGTACAACTTTTCATTGGCAAGTATCAGGGGGAAAAAAAACTGTTAATGCTTGATGTACTGAGATCTGCTTCAGTGGACAAAGGTAGCCCAAGATATGTAGGAGGAAACGGATTGGACTTACTAGTTCTATGTTGGCTTAAAAACGGTAGGAAAATTTCTTGTGGCGTGGCGGTGTTTTATGTAAATGCTTGAAACAAACACGAGTCTGTAGAAAATAGTGAGACAATCGGGCATAACGGAGGAAAAGAGAAACATGAGTTGGTCAGGGCTACAGCTGTGTCCGTAGGTTAGGTACGAATACGTGCAGTTGGAATACGGATATTTCTTTTACAAGATTAATCTTCCTTTTATTAGCTCTCTTGTAGAAATGCAGGTCAAGGCGGAGGTTCATGAGCTGGAGAAATCATGAAACAAGCCTTTTCTGACCTATATAACAAGCA